ACTGAACGGAGACGAAATGTTGATAATAGGAGACTCCAACGTCGGCGGTTTCGGATGCGAAGGCAGGCCGTACTATTCTGGCTTTGAACGCTACGGAGAGTGGGCGCCCGACTTGCTAGAGCCCAGTTCCATCCATGTCTTGAACGGCAAAGGGCGGTTGAAGAATCGTATTAGACAGGAGCGTAACAGTTCTTTCGACGTAGGACTCGTTTGTTACCCGATACGTAGCTCTAGGATACTGGGCACGGTATGGAGAGATACTTCAGCGCAGCAGAATGTGCAGCAGCTCTGGCGGTAGTCTCAGGCAACATTTGGCACCGAGTCGCAGAAACGTATCAAGGCCCCCCTTTGTTGTAGGTTTGGGACGGATACGGGACCCTTAAAATCCATTGCAACGCAAAGATCCCTCGTCGTTGAGGAGACCAACATCATTGCCGCCATTTTAAACATTCACCGTAGTTCTTTTTTGCAGAAAAGAGTTCAGATGAACCTCCTAGACTCCTCCCCCTTTTAGGCAAACTCATTGCGTTACATCCCGATGTCACCGCCGTCCAACATCAATGCCGTGCCGAAGTCTGGTTCTGCCTGAATTCTGGGAAATTAATGCGTGCAACCTGGGGGCCGGATTCCGACGATATAGCATTCATCGCGATAACACATTATCAAATGACGGTGCTACCTCAACTAGGATGGGTGGAGGAAACCAAAAAAAGGGGCACGAAAAGAGAAGCAAAAAGGACAATGGCCCTCGGCCATCCTTCGTGTCGAACGCAGAGGAGCGGCATGTTCGGCCCGGCGTAACAGCGCAACGGCGAGACTCTCTTTGCAGTCTTATGTGCTCACGTAGCCGAGCTGCAACACTGACCGGACTGATGATACTCACAAGGAAAGTTGCGGCCGCAACTCACCAGCAACCTTCCATTGAAGACAACGTTCAAATTTCGGCCGTCAACCAGCTCAACGCTGCCCTGGAAAAAAGTCTCATTTTCAGCATGATGAAGTAAAGAGCGTCAGCGCGTTTTTGCAGAGAATAATTGTTACAATTTCCAACCCATAAGCACAGTGTAGGATACGAATTTCAGTAAAGATTGCCAAGCTTCGGGTTTGATGTTCGTCCCAAGATCGATGCTCTTAGGGTTGGCGAGGTATCTCTTTTACTGTGCTAGAACTAACGTGGACGTTCTTTCGTCCCAACCCTCTGTTCCAGAACTGATTCTCTCCAAGAATCTAAGCTTTGTGTAACAATGCGAGAGAAGTAGAAGCATTTCACCTGTCATCTTCTTCTTCTCCGATACCTCTTCGGTCCTTCGCCAACATAGCCGAACCATGGCCAAGGAAGCCGAAAGAAGAACAGACGGACCGGAACTTGACATACTCTCACCCCCTATTCTGGGCAGAATAAGACAGACTTCAGGCAGGAAAATCAAAAGGCCACGGACCGGTCAGCCTCGTTGTCTCTTTTCTCATCACGTAAATTGACAGCTTTCTTGGCGAGGGCCCGAGTTGCGACTACTTACTTGTACCGTGACTGCTGATTAATAATACTTTGTCCTCTGAACGAAGGGAAATCTCACGCAGAGACTAGGACGCGGCACCGAGTCGTTGGATTCGCCACCACTAATACCAACCAAAGGAAGGAGGGACGAAAAAAGGGTCCTACACCCGAATTCTACACCCGGAAGGGCGCGGCGGCGTACGTGCGTCAATCCGTCAACAGGGCATAAAAGCACGAGTGGAGCCGCCCGGACTTTGACGTACCGGAGATCCCACGTTCACACTACACACCCCAGGCCGTCAGTACGAATCCTCAACCTTATTTACCTCTTCTCTCATTTTTTTGCGACGTTGTCATTTTCCGAATTACGCTAGGGAACACGCCTAGAGAAGAAGGAGAATAAAAAAAAGAAAAAGTAATAGAACATGAGCTTGCGGTCAATATTAAGCGGCGGCCGAGTAAAGAAGCCAAAACCAAAGCCGAAACCATCAGCTTCGCCGCGGAAGGATAGCGGGACGAGTAGCCCCCGCAAGTCTGCCGGCGGCAGGAGCAGCAGCGCCAAGAGGAACACAACTACCCCATCAGACGTCCAAGATGATGACGGCGACTACAACGACGACTTCTTCCACGACAGGCTCGACGACGCAGGGCTCGTCGCGGCGCTGGCGACGGACATGTCGCTGCGCGACGTCGTCCAGGCCATAAAGTACACCCGCAGCCGCATGTTCGGCCCCGTCCCCACGGAGGCGGCCGGCATGAACTCCACGCGCATCGCCGAGGTGCTCAATTACCGCAGAGCCATGCCGGGCATAGTGACAACATCGCACTTACACGCACTCCTCGCCTCGCCCACGGCGGTGGAGCGCGAGGTCGCAGAGTTGCAGCGCGGCGGAGCGCTGCGCAAGATCTACGTGCAACGCCGCGGCGGCCTGGGCGAGGCGCTGATCCAGACGTCTGAGCTGGAGGACATGATTGCAAAATCGGCGGAGCTGGACGACGACGCGAGGTCCGCCTATGTCAAGTTCCTGAGAGAGAACCCGCTGGCGCAGACGATGCCGCGACTGGCTTGCGGCGGCCATATACAGGCCGATGCCCTGGTGCGGGCCGGGTTTCTTACATCCAGCATGCATCCGCAGCACGTAAATACACCATTGATGAACTTACACTTGCGGCCCGAAGACCGCGGTAGCTTGATGAGCATTCAAGCAGTCTCCCGCGCAGCATCCGGAAGCTTCGACGCCGTGGGCGGACAAGGAGGAATACACGCCGCGGGTGGTGGGGGAGGGGCGCCGCGTCTATCCCGCGGCGCCGCCGCCGACGCGTCATCCTATTCGGGGGCCGAATTCACCATCGCGGTGCCCGGTTACGGGTCGTTTCTAAAACTGACCGCCGCCGCTGTGGAGCACCTGGCCCATCTCCTGTCCAAGTCTCAATTTAGGGAGATGCCCGTGTCTATGCTCCGGGAGCGGTGGGAGGGTGGCGTAGCCCGTGACGAGGCACGCCTCGCAAGGAGGGCCAGGGGAGAATTCGCCGGCGTGCTGCCGGGGAGGACCAAACGATGGAAGGAGTTTTACGGTTTGGAGTTCAACTGGGTGTTGGAGGAAGCCATGGGCGCCGGTGTCGTGGAAGTCTTTGAGACACGGAGCGTAGGTAGGGGAGTCCGCCTCCTGTGATACAGTGATCGTGGGTGAGACCTCGGAGTCCGTGTACGTCGTCTGCTGTAGCGGGGGAAAGGTTTTAAGCTTGATACCGTGGAAATCCCAAATGTTCTTCGACCAGTCGCTAGCGACCAGAGACACAATGTTGGGAACATCGGCGTCGATGAAACCTGCCTCTTGACAAGCTGCCGTGTCGCTTAGCCCCCCATCACGTCAACTTGACTGGGATGCCATGGCCGCCTCCTGGCATGTTCGTCCGAGGGTCGTTTCTCGGGAACATTCTTCGATGAGAGAAAAATCATAGAGATAGAGCTACTGTAGCATAGTACGTATAACACACCCCGATTGAGTCAGTTGCTGCTGTTATCTGCTAACAGCGTTTCTTTCCGTAATTTGAGAAGAAAATTACTTCCCTACTCTCGAAATACATCATTGAACCGCTAGATAGACGGCAAACCCGTGAAGGTTGCGCGGCCAGCTTGAAAGGGGAACAAGCCTGTTGATTAGTGAAGTTTCCCCAGAACCCCGGCTCCCTGTCAATATCTGCCAAGCACGAAAATTGTTGTAGAGGGTGAAGGGTCGCACTTGAAGGCGAGGCGGAGGGTGATGCGGCTCCAGGTTCACCTAGGTAAATCCTAGGGCCTGGGGTTTGATCTTCCATGCTTCGCCCAGTCGCGGAGCATCGTGCAACTGGACCAACGTTTAGACGAGAACTGCCGGTTTTTAAATGTGACTTCGTTAGGTATAGGCTCTTGAGTCATGAACGGACCTGTGAAAGCCAGAGCATGAATGTCAACCGCCTCTCATCCGTTCTTTGCATCGATTTGCGTGCTGCTGTCAAAAGTTGAAAGGCTTGGGACCTAAAGGTGTAGTTGGTAGCAAAAAGCGACACACACCATTCGTTTTGCCTCCACATGGAAGACCAAACAACACACTGCATTGGCTGAGTCGCCAGAAATTTCGGGTTGTATTTGAGGTTTTCGAAACTTACACAAAGGCTGTGTGGAGAGAGGTACGATAGTGTATGTCCATCTGCAGCTAGTGTTCCAGAGTATAGTATTGTCCGAGCGAAGAAGACGTTGGCTCACAACTGTCAAATTGAAATGCTTGCCATACTTCAGCCCGCCATCCGAGGTCGGGTGGGAGAGCATAGAAAGCTAATCCAAATTCACCCAATCAGCCAAGATATCTCGGATGTTATGGCAGCCGTGCAAGAGTCAAGACACCTGGACTAGTCAGTGTATAGATAATATAGAGCTCATTAATCAAAAGAGCGTTTGTTTTGTCAGAAGCTCGCTAACACTCAGCAGAGATCGTCGGAAGGAACATGATCCAAGATCGACAGCCCCGTTGCCCCGTAGACTAGGCTCTTAGCCCACCAGGAAAAAGTATTGGAAACTCCAACATCCTCTTTGGGGGCGCAAGACGTTGCAGCTTGCCTGCGTGCATTAACCAAACGTAGAAAAAGCAATTTTGAGGTGCAGTATTGGGGAATGGATACCGACTTCAGTCCCAGTGAGGTAAATTGAGCTTGGGCCATCCATCGCCTGTGCTTCTATCTGAGCTTGTGGAACGCTCGATTTTGAACGGGACTCGAAATTCCAAGCTCGTCAGTACAGGTACCGTTTTGATGTGGACAGAGGATCGAAGTGCTAAGCATGGTGAGGCACTTGCGCAACCATCCTGCGACGTGGGAATGCGGAGACGGAGCAACGCGGCAGAACGCTAGGTTCATCGGATGACGGGAACAGTGAAGTACGGGATGAGGTCTGGCAGTGATACATGAACGTCCGGCACGACGGCTCGCCGAGAGTGACCCGGTGTCGGGGGTTCTACCATCCCGCCCGTCATTCTCTGAACGTTTTCTGCTCGAACAACAGATAGATTGATGGCCTGAGCCCCAGACCCCAAGACGCAATGTCCAATGGTGCCAATCTGACCAGTTCGAAGGGGGGGGGGGGCTTCGTAGGATTCGTGCGACAGGCCCAGGCTCTGTGAGATTGCCAGACCAGGGCCATGGTCGCGTTATGCTTCATTGGCGAATGAGGTTCGGCGGGGAATGGACGAGGCTGCAGCAGTGCAGCTAAGGTGCTTGTCGTCACACAGACTTTTACGCCAACAGCGTCTTCTCCAACTCTGGGTCGTGCTAGGAAGCTTCCCGGAGACGGCTCCTGCAGTCGTGCAGAAAGTGTAGCATATGATGGCTGTTATCGAGGTCTTAGTTCGGCGTGCTTAGTAGAAGATTTGCGCACGGGGACGCCATAGATGGCAGCTCGTTGGCTGGAAGAGGTAGTGATGTGATGGCATCCGGAAATTACAGCGTGGTCCGTCCATATGGGGGTCTCTGGCAATTCGTAGACGTTGTTTGATTGCAACAACGGTTGGCACTTTAAAGTGTTTACCCCCAGTCAGTCCATTTGCCGCGCTCTGTCCAATTGTTGATCGAGTCAACGTTGTCGAGGATTCTGTGGATTCGGGGACAGATCGAGAAAGCACCGAGGGTGATGAGCGGGTCTGAGGAAGATTCATGGAGATGGATCATGGGAACCCGAGCTGTTGGCGCTCGTGGGAAACCCGTACAAAGTAGGCTTCTTTGGGCGGTAGGAGTGGAGTGACGCGTATCCGTAGCTATACCTGGTATCCTGTGCTACCCAGAACACATACTCTGCACAAATTTGCGAGAGACAAAGAGGCGACATGTGGCAGCACCATGTCTCGGCGTGGGATGGACAGGTGAGGCTGCGCAATATCACCACAATTCGTTACATGCGCACCTTGTGCTCTGGATGCTGACGGCGGACGCTTGCTACTCTGCTTGCTTGAGGGTTGGAAAGCACGCGCATATGCGTGCGACGGTGGTACGGAGCTCGCGCATGTGCATCCGCGTCTTGTCGTGGATCAAGTGCCGTCGGTCCCAGCGAGGTAGACGATCCATCATCCCACAAGCTCTCTCTCTTTCTCTCTCTCGCAGATGCAAGCCAGTTTGGGATTTGACAGCAGGGGTCTTGGAAGTATCCCGAGACCTAGGGACCAAGTAGTGGCCAGGAGTCAGGCCACAGAGCGGCGTGGCTTATCATCCAAGGACCATGAGGGAGGGATATAGTAGCGCCGTGTCTCGAGACACTTGTGCTTGTGCAGTGGGAAGCAATGCTCATGGTCCAAGTGCTCGCGCAGTCTCTCGCGGTTAAAGGGGCGTAATAATGTGCCGAGTACCTCTGATGCTGGTAGCTCGTGGCGGCACCGTGTATATTCTGGGACTAAGCTGGAAAGGGATTCCCCCCTTGCTGTTCCTGAGTTGAGCGATGGTCCTTGCTGGGGATGTGACAGGGGTAGAATCTCCAAGTCTGGGTACCAATTTGACGATGATCAGACTAGCGAGGAAAACTTCCTGGGTTGGGCTGCGGGCGTTGTGATGAGTGGTGTATTTCTTGGACGTTGTCTCTAGTACCTGACTAGTTGCCGATGGGGAAGCAATTCGTGACGGAGTCGAGAAAGGAGAGAGAAATAGTGCTCTTGTTCTTGAAAGTCCATCGTGGCCGGAGAGAGAGTTGCACGTGCTAATCGAAGTGTGAATGGCGGGGACGGGAAATCACAACCGTGTTGCACGCCCTCCTCAGCCCTGACCGGCCAGCTGGAGGGGTGAAAAGAAAATGGAAGTGAAAATGGGAAGAATCGAGACGAAGGCAGGGAATGACACAGACACGAGAAAGACAAGCGATAAACGGGGGCAAGGTCGCAGAAGACCAGGGGAGGCAACATCTCTCTTTCGTCTCCCTCCCTCCTCCCCTTTCTGTGTTTATTGGTATTTGGCACGAGTATTTCGTACATGGATACGTATTTGCCCATCTCACCCGTGACCCCGGTTGTATCCTGTCTTCTCCTTCCTTTTCCCCCTTCACATTCAGCTAAGGTACTTTAGAATACCTACCTAGTTCTGGGGAACAAGCTCTTTCTCGATTGACTCAGAGACGACGACTATCTCTTTCCTCTACGATTTGCAGATATCACGTCCCGCAATCTTAGTTGACGCCGATATCGAGGATCGTCACTTTGTCACTGGGTTTGGCAGCTTATCCCTCTATTCCTATTGCGCAATACTTCCCGTTGTCGGCATATCCAAGCACAACTTTTTGTGGATTCCTCACAAGCTCCCGTCCAGAAAAAGCAAAGAATGGTTTAACGGTACGTACAAGGGCCCACTGTTTTTTACACTCCTGCACCCTGTCACTTGTCCGCTACTTTGCCCCGGGCAAGTAGGACCAACGAAGAGAGGAGAGCAGACGGAGAGGAGAAGAGGAGGAGGAAGGTGCTCTCTCTTTTGTCCAGGTTCTTTCCCACTCGCAATAATAGCAAAAGAGGAAAGGGAAAGAAAGAGAGGAAGGAACGTCCAACATTGGACATCCTTCGCATCGAGGACGCGCCTAACACGGAACAGACCTTTTCGAGGAAACGATCCCACTGGTCTGGAACACCTCGACTCTCGACCTCTTTCACTTCCAAAGTTCTCCCCCTCCTGCCTGCCGCCCACGTTTACACTACGTCTACTTTCACGACCACGTCCGTCCACATTCAGATCGCTCCCAACTTATCCGACGGATCTGCCTAGTACCTTCAGCCACTCCTTCACCTTCCTCGCGCCGCCCACGTCGTTGCACATAGCGGCCATTTCCCGCTTACATTGCCGCCCACTGCACTAATCGCACCGAAACGCACTTTTCATCACCACATTCACTCACGCCTTCTCCATTTTCTCGACCAAACACTCCTTACTCATCTCGTCTCGCTGTGCGCTTTTACGCTTTGCGTCTCCTTTACCTTGCCCACGGGACGCCTCAATTAACCTGACTCTTTGCCTTGTACGATTCCACCGCCGCCGCCTCCTCTTCTTTACCTTAACCTACGGATTACTCCGCCAAGACCAAGAGACGCAAACAAGCCCAGCGCTCGAGACTCGGATCTCTCCTTTCCACAAACCATCGCAACCCCATCGGCATCACAGAGCTCATCGCATCCGCCAGCTCTCAGACTTGACGCAATTCCGTCCCAACTCTACCTTACCGCGGCCCCGGTCGAATATCTTTCCGCACTTCGTCACCCAAACTCTGTGGACTTGTTTCCTACTTCTCCTTTGTGAAGCTCAGACGCTCCGAAGCTACAGCGAATCCGCGTTCGCAAATCCCGCGCCCAGCTCTGCTGTCGAAACATTTCCACTCGACGAAACCAACCCCTTCCCTTCCTCCCGCGTCCACCTCAATTTTTTGCCTTTCCCCGACCTGCCGCCCAATCTGAGTACCCGTCGCCATCCCAGTCCTGCGACTTTAGCTGCGCGAGACACCAGAGGCACCGTGCTCTGCAGACAGCCCACGAAAAAGAAACCCCAAGCCGTACGCCGCCCGCCGCCCGCTAGCGCAAGGAATACAGCTCGACGACAAAAAATCCACTACAGTCAGACCTTTGTTTTCCCTCCACACTTGCTTCCAACAGAGCCGACAGGGTCCCGGTTTGAACCGCAAGGAACACTCTACGAGACATACGAAGCCACCTCAATCCCAGGATTCCCCCTTCAAATCGCTCGACGCTGCCTTTCTCTCTTCTCACCAACACCATCTCGACCCACCACCAAACACGACAACACAAGCGTTGTCCACTGAATCATATTTTGGTAAGTTTTTTTCCCTTTGGTTCTTCCTCCCTGGTCTTATCCGCTCCGCCCCTTGGGATCGCCCTTATGCCGGCGCATCTGCAAGTCATGCCCAAGTCCCGTGCCCTCTGCCTTAATTGTCATGGTCCAGGTGCACTGACAACCCTCCTGACAGTCGAGCCCCCAATCCGATGAAAACTTCCCACCTCACTCTGTACACCCTCAACGCATAATAACGTTTCATACGTCCCTGTTCTCGAATTGGTCCAGAGTACTGGGATACAGGCATATTCGCAGGCCAGGTCCCCGTCCACACTCGTGGTTTTCGGACGAATACAACCCACGCGGAAGACGTCCCTTTATCGACGTAATCAACATCCCGACGATCACCCACCCTCTTCCACCCTCCGAGTTCATGGACCGGCCAATTTCTCGACTGCTCTCGACAATCTAGAAGGTTGCTTGCCCAACTCGGGACTTCGTAGTTGCGTACGGATCACGGCTCCTTCCCTTCAATTATTCAACGATATGGCGACTCTCCCACGGCCGGCCCGGCCGTCAAATGGCCCGCCAACCATGGCACTGCCCGCTCTACCTGTACCGAAAACGAGGAAAAGTACGGGGGGCATTCCCACGACAGCTTCCAGGGCACCGTCAACACCGAACTCGAAGAGTGGCCTCAGAGCTCCCTCCGCAGGCTTTCTGCCTCCCACAACTCCCGCACCCACCTCAGCCCTTCCGCAACCACGTACAGCCTCTGCCATGAGTAATTCTTCTGTGCGGACGTTGCGTAAGACAGTGAGCATCAACTCATTCCCCCAACCGCCCCGAGGCGACAATCGCATCAGTAGCCTCCCCCCGAGTCCACTTGGTGCTGACTCCTCACGGAACTCTACACGCAAGTCAAAGGGCTCCGTAGCGTCTACGTATTCGCAAAGCAACGGCGCGCCAAGTCTGTTGAACAACAGTGCCGAGGGCAAGTCAATATCAAGCGCAAGTGTGCGTATGTCCGATGGCCTTATCAGCATTTCTTCACCGCCCCAAAGCAGGAGCTCTTCTGCCCAGGACTCGTATTCAACTTCCGCGACGACGTATGATGACCCTATCGATGGAATGGCGGCAAAATCCTCATCTGACGGCAGCAGTGATAAGAGAGGTTCCAAACTAGACGGCAAGGGTAATGTGATTGTCAGTGTGAGAGTGCGACCAGATGCGAGCGGAAACGAGAATACCAAAGCCGAGGGCGAGTGGATGGTTGATGGACGCAAGTCTCTTGTTGCGTACAGAGGAAAGGAAGGCGGAGACTACTTTTATGGTGAGGCTTATTGCTCCGCAAAACCACGCAAATTCTTCTAACCCAAGACGTCAGATAATGTCTTTACAACACACGACGAC